CTGTCTTATGGGTGTTCCTGCTTGTTTTTTGGGGGGGTGTGGGGAGGAGAAAATAAGTGTCAATATGCTCCTCTTGAAGTTACGTCTGCACAAGCGAGGGTACAAAAGAAGCACTAGGGATATTTCTCTGCCTTCCCCTTTCTCTCCCTTTCCTCCCTGAGCGGCTAAGCTCCAACCCCTTGTCAAAAGCCACCTGTTATGGTAAATGACTAGCACACATGGTAATAGTTTTGCGAATGTGTGTAGAAAGCTATGGGAAGATTCTTAAAAATAACATTCTAGATGACTCGCAGCTTCTCGGCAGCAGGCTGCATATTTTAAAAGGATGTGGCCCTAATTGGCAATAATTTTATTGTAGGCGTGGCTCTCGCTGTGATCCTCAGCAGTGTTCGACATATTAGTGATAAGGTTTTCCTAGAAGCTGCTAAGGTAAGTGTGGAAGCAGTGTAGGCTGTGGCTTCTGACATGACGGTGGATGGCATGATGGGCAGTTTCTCAAATCTTGCTGAAACTCTCTGGTTTCCTGTTTGATTTCTGTTGGTTTTATCCCTCCCCAAAGGAAAAAAAAATGGATTTTGATCAAATAAAATTGTGAAAAGTATCAGCTTCCATTGCAATTTTAATTTCTTTCATCCAGAAACCAAACACCCAAATAGGAAATCCACCCGTGTGTAAATTGCCTCCCAGCCTTGGAGGGCTGGCAGCCGGCCTGCCGCCTCCTCCCGCCCCGCTCTGGGTTCCACGGGTGGTGGTGTGGTTGGGGAAGCACGTGGCCTCCAGGCTCCCATCCTCTCCTGCCTTTCCACCCTGGAGCAGGAGCACCTACGGCATCGGAGTAGCCAGGGACTCAACTGGCCAAACGCACGGGCGGTTCTGCAGGCACGTTGCGCTTTTATAACATCCGTGGTTATGGGTCGTTCAGCCTCCAGAAAAAATAAGATCTTATTTCGCTAAATGCTTACAAGCAGAATTTGCTGATACGGGCACAGATTGATCTTTGAGAATTTTGAGATTTTGACTGCCTTATTCTAGTGGTTTGGGAGCACTCTAGTAGTAAGATGACTGCAACTTGTTTCTCTCAGGTGTTTCAGCACGTTATTGGTCCCATGTGGGATGCAGTAAATAGAGCTTGTTTGTTTTTCTAACTCAGGCATTGGCAGAACAGTTGACCGATGAAGAACTTGCACAAGGAAGACTTTATCCTCCACTGTCTAATATCAGGGAAGTTTCTATTTATATTGCTGTCAAGGTGAGTATGAAGCATAAAAGTGGACTGTACGAAAAGTGTTTTATGTGTACATTAACCTGCTGAATTGCACAGTGTGGCCCTTGAACGCCAGGTGCTTGGGCACAAAATACCCAGTTCTTTGTGCCTTTAATAAGAGACACTTAGAAAAATTTTGAGTTTATTGGATGCTTCGGTTTGGCAGTGATGATGGGCCAAAATTATGCTCCTTTGATTTCTGAAAGTAAGTTTTCAGATCCCTGGTAAGGCATTCGGGAATTGTACAAAAGACTTTGGTGTTCGTCTTTATCCGGTTTGTAAGTCCTAAACATATTGCAGCGGAAGCGTGGAGGTTATGTGAACGTAGTAAAAGGCACAAACCGCACGGTGATTTAACTTTGCAGGTTATGGAGTTTTTGTACGCAAACAACATGGCTTTCCATTACCCTGAACCTGCAGACAAGAACCGTTACATTCGCTCAAAGGTTTGGACCTACGAGTACGAATCCTTCATGCCAGATGTGTACGACTGGCCTGAATCTAAGGTTCACTGAGGCATCAGAAGATCGCACTCCTCAGGCAGTATCTTCTACTCTGCAGGGATCCCTTTTTCAGACCAATTTAAATCATGATCTTTGAGTCCTGTAATTTATTTTCGCTCGTTATGTTGTCTTTTTTCTTTCCCCTTCTACCCTGTTTTTCACTTGACGTAGATTGCTCCCCACTCTCCCAAGTACCTGATAAACTGTATGGATGATGGCATCCATCACAGGAATAAGAGAGCTCTCCAAAATTAATTTAAATAATGACATTGCGTTTCTAGCTTAGAGCCGGCACCACACGAAAGAATTCCATTCGTGATGTTTTAGCGACGTGCATTTGACGATGAACTATAGCTCTCTCATCACTGCTCATTTCCAGAATGATTTATTTCTGCTTTTAATAATCAGTCTTCTAATTGTCCTAGTGTTGTCACGCTGCGTTATCTGTGACATCACCAGAGAGCATTTGTCAAAAAAAAAAAAGACAGCTTAAGACAAATTTAACAGTCTAATGGGCTTTCTGTTTCGTCTGATGTTTAAAGATGCCCGTGTCCAGACTTCCTTGTGGCATCGGCTGCTCTGTTTCTTTGAACGTGCTTTGAGGAGCAGCGTGGTGCGCGCATGTGGCATCTGCAGCAATGTTTGTACTTCGTGTTCTCGTTGTCGTGTGAAATCCGTTATCAGGAAAAATGTGAACTAGTTAAAATTATCCTTGGAAAGCCTGAAAATAATATTAATCACTTAACAGCTTTTAAAAACAAAGCTACACTGTTGCATAATAAATTCTATCATGTAAAGGCAGGACCTGAAGTAATTTACGGAAATCTTTAGAGTTTTTACAAGGAGATTTTCTGCAGTGGCCTCCAAGGTGATGTACCGAAGGATTTTTGTTTCATTTGTTAATTTTTTCAAGGTTCTGTTTCTTCGAAGCTAAATTGTTTTCTGCCTTGCATACCCTCGTTCTCACAAAAAGGCTCGTGTGTAATGTTTTCATGACATGGCCGACTCAAAAGCTCCTAAGTTGCCGCTTCGAACAACCCCACCACACGCACCCGATGAAGCTGAAACAGAAAGCGTTACAGGCAGCTATTGACACGCACATTTACAGAAGTTTGACTCTTTCTTGTGGTCTCAGTCCAGTACATTCAGTTCAGTTTGAACACAGGACTGGAAAGATCGAATGCTTAGAAGCTCGAAGTTGACCACTTCATCTTCCTCTCTCCATTTACAGGTTGAATTTGTCAGGTTTTTTGTGTAAAAGCAAAAATCGCGAGTTGAAGTTTTCCTTGCAACGGATGGTACTGCACATTCGATACAGATCCCACAATGCGCATTCCTTTTCATTTTCTTCATAGCAGGTTGGAGTGCCCTCCATTACTCTGTATCAGCAGGCAAGGCCACACATGATAGTTACCGCCTGTGACTTCTCTAAATCTGGTCTCTGGAACAAGAACAGTGGCATGTCAGGAACAGAAATAATGTGCTGTGCCATAGTTTGCTGCATCAAGGCAAAAAAAAAGGACAAAAATAAATAAATAGATAGATGTAAAAGGGCTATACTGCCAAACTTGAAGCCGGAATCCAAAGAGATGGAGTAAAGCTTGCTTAGGATTTATCCATGGCAAGTACCTCTCTCATATCCTCATTTATATTGGATATAAATCCGCAGTCTCCACAGAATAGGTCCGAAAAAGAACAGGGAAAATGGTCTCTGTACCCCCTTGGACATGGTCTCTGTTGCTTACTGCCTCATATCTGATTTGAAAATGATGTTCATGTATTAGATAAAAAGAACAGTAAACTTTGGGAAGGCTTTACCTAAGTGAGGAAAGAAGACTGATTATATAAACGCAGAAAATAGCGATGTGGGGAAAAAACTGCGTATTCAAACTGTGGTAAAGTGCTGTCTGGTGGGGCTCGAAACGCTATATTGCCAAGTTGGGCGACGTACGTGGTTTGGGACTTGTATATGTAAGTATATGTACAAAAAAGACCAACACACACATATGATGTTTTTACAAAGAATGCTTTTTTCATCTATTTTTGCTATGCCTGGTTTTTATTGTATTTAAATTTGTGATCTTACTGAAAAATTATTTATTTAGTGTACAAATTATTTTTACCTTCTGAAAATTCAACTATAGCTGAAGCCTGTTGCAGTGTGTCAGTGGAGTTCTGCATCATTGGATTCAAGTATATTGGGAACGCACACTTCCTCGCTTCTGCCAACATATTGATGAGGCAGACGAGTAACAAAAATACCCCATGCACTGATTTTGTGTCCTGGCTGAGAATGATCACAGAGGCAGGGCAATCGGTCCGTAAATATAACTCTGTCTTACAAAATAAAGATCTGCATCCATCTCTTCAGTCTGATTATTTGTTTTCAGGTAAGAAGCGCAGGCATGGTTCATAATCGGTGGGCGTTGATAGTACTCAGGAAAACCTGGCGCTCGGGGAAAAGAGCGTTACCCGCGTGCTGCGGGAGGCTGGCTTTGGGTAAGAGTGGTTTTGGTTCCCAAAGGCAGCTACCGCGCAGGAAATTCACGGTGGCTGCTGTCAAGCCGAGGGAAGATGCCTGTCGCGTGAAGCGCAGTCCTTTCCCCTCCTGGCCGGGCTCCCTGCTGTCTTTACGCAGACGCCAAGAGGGGTTGTTCAGAACTGGCCAGCAGTGGGATTTTCCCAAGTACAAATGTTCCTGCATAATTTTTCTGGAAATCCTACTGCACAGGTGAGGAAAAAACCAGTCTTTAACCAACTCGGAGGCTCCAGTTACAATAGAGCGCTGCCCTGATGGGGCTGCAGATGTGTCAGAGCCGTAAAGAAGGCCTGACTGTGTCTCTAACCTGTCCCAGTTACGGCAGCGAAGTGGTACCAGTTAGACTTCATCTATGCAGACGCACCCGTGGAGATTGTTTAATCAGGTTCTGCGGATCATCTATAGCTTGCGATATAGACACAGTAGAATTTTACCTTTAATGTATAGCTGTTGTTTTCCGCTAGCAACAGGTAACGTGTCAGCTCACAACGTTTTAAGTGCATTTCCCTCTCCCTTTCATCTTTTTCATGGTTTTTTTTTTTATGAAATATATAGATTCATCTTTGGTTTTGTGTATTCTTTGGGTCTAATTCATCTTTGAATTAATTACCACTGCTGATCTTGCCGCTTAGTACGAAACCACAGTATCCTTTTTTGTATTCTACTTCGCCTGAGTTTTTTCTATTTGCTGGCTTGTTCAAAAGCATTTACCAAATTTACAATTCTCTTGCGCAGTACGCGAAGGCAAAAAGTTGTCACCAGGATGCATTTTATAATGCTGCATAGTGTGAGTTAAGCTTATACCGTTCTTTAAAAAAAATATATCACCTAAAGGATGACTAGTGTTCTAGCTCTTCACACAGCCCTGGTGACGTTTGCCCTCCGAACGGTATGGAAGTCTGTCTTTCACGTCTTTTCCCTGAGGATACTATTCTGGATGTACAGAACACTTTGGAGAGGATCAGAAACTCCCACTGAGGTCAGTAACTCAGCCTTTTCCAGGACTGGTCCAAGGCTTGCTTCCCTAAAATCAACAGGAGCAGGACCAAGCCTCTTGGCAGCAACGTCTAGAAATGTCTAGGGGAGGAGAAAGGTAGCTAAGGGAGCGCAGCCTTTTTTTATGAAATATGTGTATTCTTGTTCAAAGATGTTCCAAAGCTTTGTATGTTCCTGAAGCGTACGCCTGCGTGCCAACAATTGATACGTAGAGGAAGACTATTAAAATGTACTGGCTGATATGTTTTAAAACCCAAATGTGACTCGTCACTGAAGTTACTGGTTACATTTGTGAACAGTGCTGTTTCATGATGTCGTGTTTGTTTTCCAAGCCTAAAACGAAACGAGGTTTCACACGCAGATTGGTGTTTAACACGTTTCCTGTGGTAGGTGCATGTCTTTGTACTGTTGATTTTTCCAGCGCGCTGTTTTGCCGGAGAGGGTAAAGTAACCCTTTGTCACACTCCTCTGGTAGTAATGTAAAGATAAAGGATACAGCTTTTAGTTTTTCATTAGCGGCCCTATTTAGTGACTGCTCCCTTGGGAGAGTCGGGATCACTACTGTACAGCTACAACTGTGAATTTTAGTTCAGCTGACTCTGGGCCTAAGTAAATCCGAGTTGTCTTCTTCCATTTGCTCTGGGTCTTCTTGACTTCAAAGGTGCAGATTTGAGCACCTCTGTCATTTGGATAAAGGTATCTACGAGACTCGCAGATTGGACTGTAAAATCGGTTCAGTTTGGACTCCTCTCTCAGCTACAAGTGCCGTTCCTGAGTTTAAGAAAACCACTGTCGTTTTTAGACTCTTTTTAAGATGATGTGTACCGCTATCCCGTTTCGTAGCAGCTGTACGTAATGGGCAGGGACTGGTGTTACACTGAATACTGGAGCAAGGAGAAAATCTAGAGCAGAGCTCTACTGGCACCCGCTTGGCAGCCGAATTTGAGCAATGTAATTCAGTTGCCGCTGGTGAAGGGACATCTAATTCTGCGTGGATCTACCTTGACCTACCTACCTACTCCCGAAATGCACGTGACTGTGGTATCGCAAAGCCTGCAGCTGTTCAGGGTGAACCGCGAGGAAAATCCAGCCCACTTCAGACCTCCGCTTCCCGCCATCGCTTCCCGAATCGCAGCCCGCGGTTGAGGATGCAGCTTACTCGTGCCTTCTCCGGAGGAACACGTGCTAACAGCTGGATGGTACCTGGGGAATCCGGTACCTGGTGGCACGGTGGATCCTGGTGGATCCTGGCTACAGCTGATGGAAAAAGCTCTCTCGCATCGGGCGTTTTTGCTTTTGCGGTGCAGGAACCCCGTGGCGTGCGTTTATATTCCCCACCCACGAAGCGGGCGCTGGATTGAACCGAACTCTCCGAGTACCTTTGACTTGGACTTTTATCCATCCTTTCAGTAGGTCCTTTCTAATGAAAATGGAAATGAGAATACTTTTAGGACTACACAAACCTAGTAAGATGGCC